GGGGGAGGTGGCTCCTCAGGCCTGCGGCCCCGCGGCCGAGCTGGGCCTCAGCCTGGAGCTGTGGGGCCCTGGCTGCTCCCGGTGGGGGAGCTGCGTCCTTTCCTCAGGTAGCTGGGTCTCCACGCGTCTGCCCTGCAGCGCGACATCCCAGTAACCGGAGCCCTCGGCCCAGCCCCGGGGAGGCAGTTCAGAAACCCCCTGCGGCCACCTGGCCTCCTGCAGGTTCCCAGGAGCAAACCGAGACTTGTCTGGGCGAGTGGGTTTGGAATTAGAAAAGCTATAATAGGTAAGCTAGGGATGGAGGAGCACTGAGTCACGTTGGTTCGCAAATCACTAGTTAGGTCGTTTTCTCCTTAAAAATTGAGGATGGGAGGGGTTAAAACAGAATCAGCTGATGCTATTTTAACAAATTTCAGCATCTGTTTTTTGATCTGAGGCAGTTGTTGAACAATGAGGGAAAAGGTTTAGATTTTGTGTAAAAAAGGTGCCAGGTCCTTACACCAAACCATCACAAGAAAGCAGAGAAACATTCTGTCTTCCACCCTTACGGAGAAGGACAGATTTCTCAAGAGCATAGAAATACATTGGCAGGAGCTGTGAAAGTGAGTTGTGCTGAGCAAGGACCATCTGAGGAGTCTTACATTATACACAGTAATGCATTTGAGAAGATAACAAACATTTTTCAGGTAAATGAGTTACGAACAATAATTAATAATAAATAATAAGTAAAAGGTGGGTTGGTGCTTCTTTGTTGTCTATGTAAATATAAGACTAATGGCAACTGATCAGTGTTCATTTAGATGTGTTCCTTATTTCACACAGACTTCCTTTTTTGTCTTACAGAGTGAGGTTCCATACACCAGTCAATTATGAACATACAAAACTGTTGATGCCATGATGAACATTTCTTGATTCAGATGACATTCATCTTTCCACAGATGGTTGGTTATTTGCACCTGTTGTGCTTATTGTGTTTTGCCCCAATAAACTCCCCTTAACGTCGGCGCTTTCAGGGGTTTCAGAAGTGATTTTGAGTGCAGTTGGGGATTTTGGCCTTCCAGTTTTTAAAACTAAAATAATGCTGCTCTTCTTACGAGTCTTTGATTTGACCAGCTTTCTTCTTTTTTAACCCATCCTTTGGATTTATAATCCATCTGTAAAAGCAGGGAATGAATTGTGCCGTATGCTTAATAGGAATAGTACAAAGCTTGTTAGGACAAATGCAGTTCTTTATAAGCAGTTGTTTTTTTCTTAGATACATTGAACAAATCCTAAATGATACGGTCTGCACTTCGGAAGATTGGAATAAGGTGTCAGTTCCCTCTTGTTTCTCATGAAAGCGATGAAAGGATAACAGAACGCATTTTCTGGTAGTTTTTCCGTGTAACAACAGAGGGAGCTCTTACAGCAGCCGAGGGGAGAAGCCTTTTGGCTCTGCGTGAGCCGCAGTCAACACTGAGAAGCGGTGCTGAGGATTATTTTCCTGCTTTTTATTATTCTGTTTTCTTTATTTGACCCTTTTAATATGTCTGTGTGAGAGCGTGTGCATGTTTGTATTTTGTGTAACTGAAAATGTGTTATCGGTCTAGAAGGAAGTTGGTCTATTGTACTCTGGAATCGCATGGTAATGGTATGCGTGTACTTTCTATCATATCTGTCCTCTAGTATAGTGCTGGAGGGAGATACTGCTTCGAGTTTAGGCATGATCTTAGTGGATCATCATTCTGAGGGAGCTGAACAAAGGGCATTGTGCAGTGTACACATCCCTTGATGCCTTGGTCTTTTTTCCTGATAGGCCAGAAGGCTTGCACCATGACAGTCACAGTACAAGTTAGATCATCAAGGTAATATAACAAAGCCTGCCAAACTACAAAAAAAAACCAAAAACAAAACCAAAAAAACCCCAACACCGTTAGTGCTTAAAGAAGTTATAATACTATTTTATTGCATTCTTGTCTTTGTGAGATGGTGTTTTTTTTATGTTCCTCAAGCAAGTTTTATGGGAGAGAAGGAGCTGGCTGTAACTTAGATTGCTTTTTGCATGCTTTAATAACAAAACTCTTACATGATGTGAGAGTTAGGTTTTCTGAAGTTATTCAAAGCAAAATTTTGTGATACAGCTTTCACCAAATGCAAATTACAGGTAGAGGGTTATCAGTATAATAGAGTTTGTCTTGATAAACAGATGAATGATAAAGATATTGGTAAGGGTTTATATTGATAAGAGTCTGTAGGACCTTTTAGGGAAAATTAAGATAATACATTTAAAATTTTTTTTTCTTGTTGTTTTTCAGGTTCTTCCTATTACTTCTCCTTTTTCTGTATCCCTGTGGCTCAATTATCCTCATACTTAAATCACAGAATGTTAGGGAGCAATCTTTCACTGGCAGAGGATTAATGATATTAGCATGGTGACTTAATATAGTAAATGTGGTCTATTTCTATCCTTCTGTAAGCCCACTGAAATCCATGAGTCCCACAAGGGAGGTCTGGCCTTATGCCTTTTCCCTCACTGCATTTATGAGACTCTGAGCCTCCCTTTTGTTTTTGAAAGCTGTACCTACAGTCATCTGCTTTCATCATTGCTGAAGCCATTACTCAAAAAGAGCTATTGAAGAGGCAGCACTGGGTGGACCTGACCAATTAACCAAGCTCTCCCAAGCACAATTACTTATGTCCAACGTGTATTAACATTGTTTTGATGGATGGTTTTGAAATTTTCAGATACATTGAGAAATCCTCATAGCTGTAACCCAAATCGATTGAATTTTGCTCTCTAGTCACAGTGCTCTGGAATTCTTTCATTAAAACTTCTTGCTGAATTTAGTAAACTGTAAATTCTAGTCTGTGCTCTGCTCCAGTGATACTCACTGACTTCTGCTGCATAGGTGGAAGTGGAAGTAAGTTATCTCAGAAGGTAACAGAGCAAAAACCAAAATATTAGTTTCTGAGCTTTTCTGGCTGGGTTCTGTTGTGCTTAAACTCCAGTTGTTACCTCTTTTATGCTCAAAAAAATTAGTATAGTTCAAAAACTAAATTAAAAAGTGTGATGCACATAGTACAGGGGATAGAATTAGCAAGCAAGCAGCTGCTGCTAAGCTAGAGTACATTAATTTTGGATGAAGCTCACATGGATATAAAATTTGCAAGGTCAAGTCATTTTCCAGTAACTCTCCATTAACCCTTAGTGTAACTGAAACCTCTAAATAACTATGCTTCTACTTCAGAAATAAAAGCTATATAATAATAAAAATCAGAGTAAAATGCTATAGTAGAGACACTCACTTAGGTCTGCAATCCCTGATAGTTTTTGTTTAATTTTGACAAGACTGGTCCTAACATCTGTTAAGAGGTATCAACACAGATGATTCCATTCTTTATGTTCAAAGTGATACTTTGCTCAAATGCAGGAAAAACTGCCCAGCCCTCCATTCTGCAATCAGCAGAGCAGCAAGTAGTCAATTACACTAATTTTGTCCATAAACCATCACTGGAGGGAAGAAGCAACCCATAGTGTTTCATATACTGTAGGAACACAAAACCTTATAAGCAGACTGCTATTTTTTAAAAAAACAAAGGGAATTTTTTTTTCAATAAAATAGTATTAGAAAAGCAATCTCTGCTGGATATCTTGCAGAGATTATTATTTCTTTTAGAGCAATAGCATGGGGACTACATTCTCATTTTACCAGATATTGTTCAAATGCCAAGAGACAGACAGAAAAGATGAAAAGAAAGTGAAGTACAAATCCTGAAGGGAATCTGGAAAGGTCATTGATAGATGTTTTTGTTCTGGTTACTTTTCTGAATTATAAAACATACAATAGAAAGAGCAAACAGAGAGAGGGACACATAATAATCTGAAATTTCTAGAGCAGACTATTCTGATTCTATAAATTAATACTAGTTAATTTGTACCTCTGAGTTATATATAGGACTAGAATTATGGTGTAACAAATGTGGCTGTGAATGTAATCTGGGTGTGTGGATAAGCTAAACAACTACTTGTTTACCAGTCTTAAGCATTAGGTTATCTTATTCATACTTGAACAGAAATATAAGGTGGCTACAAAGTCCCCAGCACCTAGTAAGGAGGTGACACCCAACTTGAGACACCTAACTCAGCTGAACTGTTAATTTCCTGAAGCTGCTGCCACTGCCATTGTGCATGGCAGGGTCAGAAGGCAGCACAGTTGCTAATAGCACACAACTAGACCAGGACCCTCTCCCTGCTCCCCTCCTCAGCTGCAGTTGCTCAGGCAACAAGATCGTTCAGCAGCAGACAGGCACAGAAGGAAACTGTAAGGTGTGGGAGGAGAGAGATTTTCCAGCGGCTACAGAAAGGGTCGAGGAAAGAGAGAGGAGATTATTGGTACATGTCTTGGAGAAGGTATTTGCCCTTGTATAGACAATGGAGAGAGGATGCCAGATGCTGCTTCAAAGGACTTCAGTTAAGCTTCTTTCTAAATTTCCCATTTGGAGTAGCTTATTTGCCTCTCCTGTTTTTTTTGAAAGAGGTGAGCAGATGGAATGAGGCATCTGGTGCTGGATAATGTGAATATCCCCCGTATGCTGGAAGAGCATTCATAAAGAGTCATTTGGGTGCCTTTTAACCTGTGAACTTGGTATGAGGCACCTGATCTAGTCAAATACAAGCCAAGGTTTGTGTTGGGCCAACAGCAAAGCTGACCAAAGCAAACTGAACTTGGTCAGAGGAGTGATAGGGCCTCTGGCTGCCATTGTCAGTGCTCAGGGCATCTTCTCCCCTTGGCTCTCAGGAAATCTTAGGGCTCTTGCCGTATGAAGGCTTTTGGCAACGGGCTTACCCAGTAGGGGAAGATAGTGTCTATGATCATCCTCCTTCAGAACCAGAGAAAATATTTAAAAAAAAATAATGAAAAAGAAAAGAACAACAATCCCACACAGTTTCCATCAATATTTCTACAAATGCATTTGCAGTGTTGATACTACGTTGTCAAAGCCATTAAAGGTGACAGTTTGATACGGAAATTTCTTTAAACTTAACACTGATGAAAAATAAATGTTTCTTTGTTCTAATTGTAATTTGTTTTAATAGCTATTCCTTTTTATTTCAGCAGTAACAGAATATGAATACTCTGCAGGGTTTACTGCATTCTCTCTTCACAATTCTCATTTCCAATGAATTAATATTGATTGGCCAAACTAACTTTTGTTTTTGTAACATTTTATGGAGGATCCAGGTTTTTCTTCACATACATTTTATTGCTGATCTCCATTAGCTGTTTTGTGCAAAAAAAGCTTTTTTTACATTATATCTGGCACAATCCATATGAAAAAGAAATATTTTGATCTTTAGAAGTTGCATTGCATTCAGAGTTTCTATAGACAACCTGATTTTTCTTAATTGTGATGAATTATATTTTTTGAATCAGCCTGTTTGTTTCCATACTAAGTTTTTGAAAGTTCTGATACAAATTCTTGAAGCAATACCTACAAAAAAATCTTGATCACAACTGTCTAATTAGAACTTCACATGTTGGCCAATATTATTACCTCATTACTTTCCTTGTAGAAAATCTACATGTGTTTTCTCTTGTCATAGACAGTAGATTCTTTGGAGCACTGATTGCCTTTTGTTCTATATATAGTGCCCTGCAAATGAAGTCTTGTTTATGGTGGGGGCTCTTGTGCAGAGTGGTAATAGAATTCACAAGCTTCTCCTGTATATTTTTCCGTTAAAGTAGGTAGAGATGGCAGCAGCAGAATGATGATGTTAACAGACTTAATGCTGTTTAGGCTGCATAGCACTTCCAAACGCTGCATAATGCTGATGGAAGTGGATTTGCCTTTGCTTCAGAACAAATACTTGTTCAAATTTTTACATCTTGCCTTCTCATTTGAAGTCCAGCTTTTGAAAAGTACTGTTTGCTAAATGCCACCTGTATCAGTCATCATAGAGGGAATACTTTGGGATGAGATGCAGTTTAGAATCCATAAGAGGAATAAATAGGTTTGATTAGATCAGGGTAGGATGTGCCAAGTGGAGAGGTGTCAGAAGGGGAAGGAAAGTAAAGAGTCACCTGGAAGTTTAAGTGAAAAACTCAGTAATGAGAGCACTGTGGAAAGAACAGGAGACAAGAGCTGGCAAAAGGTGTGGTGGTTCTGTGCTTGGAATCCAAGGCCCTTAACTGGTGTTTAAGGTCTAATGGCAGAGCATCCAGGATCTCACACTGGTGGGAAGCTGCAGCGTTGTACCATGAATCTGTTTCACATCATTAAGTACATAAGTAGTTGCTTTTGTTTTGCTGCCCTTTTCCTAAGAGGAAGAATGGATGGCTCAAGAACAGGAAGAGCAGGGAGGGAGAGTGTGTTTCATATAGAGAGGAAAAAGCTGGACAGAAAGGAAAGCTGGAAGAGGAAACTCATATCGAAGTGAGAAAGGAGGAAAGATAAGGAGAAAGTTTAAAATTGTTTCCAAACTTTTAGAAGGGAGAAAAACAAAACAGGAGAGAAAGAATAGAAGATACATAAATTTAAGGAAGCACCAGCAATCTTTGAGCTGGGAAAAACAAATAATGCAGATGCTTCTGGGTAAACAGCAGGGAATGCTCAAGAAAGCAACCACAACTTCATAAAAAGAAGATTGAAGACAGGCATATCTTTATGTTTCAGGTAGAAAAGGCTGCCATCCAGTGGCCCTTAAGCTGATGGATGTATAGATTTTAAGCCTTTCATTTTTAATTCCTGTAGAGGCGTCTGTCTTGTAAATTTTTTAGTATTTTATTTTTTTAAATACTTCCTTTTCACTGAGCTTTTCAGGAGACAGAATGTGTGAAATTGTTTACAGTCATACCAGCATTGAAAATAACTGAAATTTCAGAAAAGTTAAACTATTCTGATTATGAGCAGGTGTTTCTTAAGTGTGAATATTATTGAAATGTTATTTGAGGGAGACTATAGTTTTATTCTTTGGGATATTCTAAACTGGATTGGACAGAAGACCAGGAAGGTGACTGGTGATTTACTGACTGTCCTGTGTGTAAACATGAGTGATGCAGAATCGACGTGCTGTGTCACACACAGCTGAACCAGCTTTGCTTTCCCTATCTTTATGTTTCAGGTAGAAAAGGCTGCCATCCAGTGGCCCTTAAGCTGATGGATGTATAGATTTTAAGCCTTTCATTTTTAATTCCTGTAGAGGCGTCTGTCTTGTAAATTTTTTAGTATTTTATTTTTTTAAATACTTCCTTTTCACTGAGCTTTTCAGGAGACAGAATGTGTGAAATTGTTTACAGTCATACCAGCATTGAAAATAACTGAAATTTCAGAAAAGTTAAACTATTCTGATTATGAGCAGGTGTTTCTTAAGTGTGAATATTATTGAAATGTTATTTGAGGGAGACTATAGTTTTATTCTTTGGGATATTCTAAACTGGATTGGACAGAAGACCAGGAAGGTGACTGGTGATTTACTGACTGTCCTGTGTGTAAACATGAGTGATGCAGAATCGACGTGCTGTGTCACACACAGCTGAACCAGCATTGCTCTCCCTACATTTGCAGCAGGTTTGTGTCTTTAATTAGACTCACAGACAAGTAATGCTGAATCAATTTGAATCCCAACAGTTGTATTCCAGCCTGGGATTTGAAGTGCAATCAGGAACTGGCAGCTGCTCATGGAATATTCGAATAGGGAGGTTATATTCAGAATTTTCCTTCAGCACCAAGTATGGGCATAAATATTCTTATGCATAAGGATGTATGCAACCCTCATTAGTTGCACATGTCTGAGTCCTCTTTACTTACAGTGGTGGTTTTAGTTATGCTTAGGATTGATTCTTCAGCAAAAAAAAAATGTATGACAGGGTTTAAAAGTTCTGCACTTGCTTCTGCTAAGCCCAGCTATTAAAAATACTTCAAATTTCCCTTCAGTGAGCATACTCAATTTGTCTTCATAGCTATGGTTATAGAACCTGTTTGTCTTGTTCATTAGGTAATGTTTCCAAATTGAGTTTTGTCTCATTGGCAGAGAATTTCAGAGCTGAATTTCTTCCTCATTCCAGAGCCTACATGTGGCATGACTTCTGTTTGAAGAGGGACAGCTAACTGGTCTTCTCATTCTAAAGTGCTTCTGGAAATTCCCTCCTTGATTCATACCCTTGTAAATTTAGATTCTGTTTGTCACACATGAATAATGCCTAATTCTATTTAGTCTAATGGGAATATCTGACTCTTAGAGGTGTTTGTTCTGTTGGATTTTTGGATGACAGAGACCTGCAAACAAGTTCTTCCTAGGGCAGTGTGTGGTGCCATTGTCTGCAAAGAGAGAATATATCTAGATTAGGAATAGGCAGGAACTGGAATCTCACATCCCTGTGTTTCTGATTTGCAGGGAAATGGGTATTCATGGTTTTGAGTCCAGATCTTGGCACAATGCATACTTTGAGCTCTTACTAAGAACATGAATCACAGTCCTCACTGCTGGTCAGAATGACCTCAGATGTAGAGCCACATTCATAGTCAAGACCAACATCTTGTGGCTTAGGATCAACTGTTGGCTAAATGTGTGAGGCATGTAATAGGTTGATGACAGGAATATAAATAGAACATAATGTAGGTTTTAGTAGCTTGGACAAAAGTCACATTCAGCTGCTGTGATGAATTGATGGTGGTGGTGGGAAATGTCTGAGCATGGAGATAGGCATTGCTGAATTTTGTCCTCTAGGGCAAGGGTGTAAGAGACAGAGTGGCTGGCTAAAGTTCACGAACCTGTCATGGAAGACCACGGTGCTCCCTGAAGTTTCTCCACCCATGGGAGGAGTTGTGTCCTGTGCTGGGTGGGAATTCCTGGCCCACCTTCAGCTGCCATGAGTGGGAGTGGAGAAGGACTAGCAAGATGTGTGCTCCAGACTTTTTCTGGAAGTTGTGGGTGAACATACTTCCACTTCTGGAAGAGGGGGTGTCTTTTGAAAGGAAATATTCAACTTTGATCTGGACTGATGTCATTAGGTGTCGATAATTAATCAAATGCCGGCAGATGGCGCCCAAGAATATGAAGTGCCGAGGCCAGAGGCACTGGGACCTGGCGGCACTCGCTTACGGGGATTACCTGAACGTTTTTCTACATGCCGCTCTTAAGCTCCACATAGTGTATCTCCCTAAATTAATTGGTACCACAAGAAGTAATGCACCAAATCGACTACCACCCATTGCTACGTGTAAGAACTGAAACTGTCTGGAGGCTGGTTGCGGCAAGAAGTGGCTCTGCAGTGCTGGTGGCTGGCGAAGAGAAGCACTGCAGGATTCCAAAGGATAATGCTCGTGACAGGAGGAAAAGAATCCCTTGTTCCAGATGTGGCTTCACTTCAAAAGTAGTGACTTGTCTGAAACAAATGCATATGGTAAATAAAACCCTCATAAAGTCTTGAAGAAGGTCAGTTAATTGCAAATAAAGAATTGATTGTGTAGGTGTAATGATGATGGTATGTCAGGAATTAATTTTTTTGCTTAGTTATCCCTTGCAACATATATTTAAGCATTTCTTTACTGTCATAAATATTGGAGAGAATATGATGGGACACCCAGATGTGGGAGCTTTCCTTCCTCTCAGCACTCAGGTTAAACACACAGAGGGATTAAAAATGGATTAGCTAAGCATTCTTGAGGGAGCAGAGAACCCTGGGAACAGAGCTCTGGCCTATTAATTGTGATGGATGCAAAAAGCTGTCTGGCCCTTTTCTGGTTTGGAGAAGCACAGTATTTAGATTACCTTTTATCTGATTTACAGCTTTCTTCTTGTTGGTTGGGTTTTTTTCCTCCTAGTCTTTCTTTTTAACTGTTTCAGGGTATCCCATGTGTCTTCACAGTTCTATTCAGATGTCCTTTCCATGATGTATACCATGAGCTTTAAAATGTCAGTAGGACTAGAAAATTGTGACCTATAAATTAATACTAAAATCCTTGTGTAATGCAAATTTGTTAGGATACAAAATTTTCCTTTTAGGCAATTTATTCTCTAGGGCAGTGCTCTCTGCCGGATAATTTCAGAACTTCATTGATGAATTAAATGAGAAGAAAGTGAGGCCATGACATGTATATGCTTTTCTGTTCTTGTGTATTTTCTAGATGAGGGGTGTGGAGGACAGTCAGAGCATGTAATTATTATGTGTTAATTAGTGTCCTAAAGCTATATTTAATTAAACCTTTAATAGGAAAATATTACTGGGAAATCAAATCCTCTTTATGAAGCAGGGCTGTTGCTTTGTGGCCTCGCTAGAAACCAATGGCCTTGACAGCTTGCACCATCCAATGCCACTTATATTTCTGTGGGGAAAGATAAGAACATGGGTAACGAAGGGCAAAATGTCAGTGTCACAATTTTAGCGGCTGAATCTATTCTGTCTGTCTCCTGCCAAATAGCCTATTAAGCCTTTTAGCATTATGCTGTCTGTGACACTAGGAGTTGGTCCTATTTATACTAATAGCTTTACTGCAAGAGAGTAGCATGAATACCCTTCATTAGTCCTACAGATAAAATCCTGTGCAGTAGATGGAACAGAAGTTGCTTAAATCATGTTGTTCTTGATGTATTGTAGCTTGTAATGTGTAAATTATCTGTGTATGTTTAATATATAGCATAAATCAAGTATCATTGTTTTATTGAAGTTCCATGCTAGATTGAAGGTAAAAAACTAGTTTGGCTTCTCTAAGTACAAATATTGTTAGAGGCCTAAGAGTTACAGTATTGCTTAGAAGCAGATCTCAAAGACTTCTATCTTACTCAGTTGGGACTCTGAGTTCCTGTGAAATTGCAGAGTGCAAGATACTGTAGGAATCTGCTTGAAAAGCTTAAGCAGACAGTGAACTCTTATTCATGTTAAGAGGCCACACTGCACTGATTCAGAAAAACAATCAAGCAAAAAGAAGTCAGAGTAGTGTGTGTAGAGTGTGTGTAGTCTGTAAATGTTTAAGTGGAATTAAAAGATAAAAGGAAGCAGTAAACCATCTCAGATACTATGCAAAGTGTTGCAACTCACTGTGCATACCTGGAAGAAAAACCTTGTAAGATACTCTCTTTGAGTAGCAGATGTTTTTGGAGGAACTGGAAGAGGCATTCTGCTGCATAGGTTTTATTATATTATTCCATAAACAAAGTCAAACCTCAGCTTCAGTAAGGCAGACCTGTGTTCTAGATTAATAGAACAATGAAATATAAAATAAATAACCAGAAACAACGTGTTCATGAGTGAGCAGAGAGGGAAATTTGCCCTGATTTGCCTATGTAAATTTAGTTCATCCCTCCTGTGTACATGGGTTGTTAGATAGCCTTTAATCAGATAATCACATACTGTGAGAAACAGCTGAGCATAACCACATTGTGATTTCTCTTGTCCACACTTGTGATATCATACTATGCAACGGTTTACATTCCCATACATTTATTTCATGCATTTCTCCTCTCTTTAGCTTCATCTCAAAATAATTCAATGAAAGCTTTTCCCTGTAAAGATCTGTTGGTCAGTATGTTTGCTTTCAACTTGACTGAGGTTGTAACTGCTGCAAATCTGTGTGTTTTAAGCATTATGAAAGAGTTGAAGGTATGTTTCTTATTCATAGTCTAGTTTCTCATACGCAGTTGGTATTCTGATGCAGTGTTTGCAGAGGTACTGCTGTGCTTTGTTTGCACATCCATCTTGTGATATCTTTCTAGTTAAATGAAGTTTTCCTTTGTCAGGCTTTCAAGTCACCAGATGCTAAAGAGCCTGGCTGAGAGGCCTAAGCTGATAGAAGATTTTGTCCCCAAAGCTGCTGTTTGGGGAAACATAATAAATTCCTGGTCCCCATATGCTACTATACTGGACAAGAATTGATCTTCTGCCATTCTTACGAGGGAAGCAGGGTTTGCGAATGTGAGCTGTTTCTGTCACTAAGATGGATGTGTTCATTTCTGCAGGGCTTTTGTACACAGCTACCAGTTAGTCTGATATTACTTACAGGCTTTGATTTTATCTAGAATGAACTGATTGTGGTATTTCCAAGGGGAAAACAAGCAAACAACAAAAGCAGCAGAAGAGATAAATTCAATGTTCTAGCATACTCTTTAAGGAAAGAAGATATGCAAATTCCTTTGTATTTCTTTATATGAGACTGTAGTTACAGCATGCTACAGCTGGCTGCTTCTTCACTCAGCCTTTTGCTCCATGATGGGCCCCACAGTACAATCTCAAAATACGTGTAGTATTGCTGTACAGTCTGTTCGTGTATCACATATGCATTGGGTTTGGTTTTCGTTGTCAGAACAGTAAGTTTTCTTCTCACACTGAAGGCTTCTTCATTTAGGTTTTACTGAGAAGAAATCTCAGAGCTCCTACTTAAAGGCTTGAAGAAAGCCTTCTTGCTGAGGCTCTAATATTTCCTGTTAGGTAATTAAGGTTATTGTAACACATTACTTGAGGGGCATACAAGAGAACAGACTTCATCTGATATTCCAAAATAAATGCTGACACAGTTTTTCAGTTAAAAAAAGTTTGCCAGAATATTTTAGAAACTAACAATTATATGCTAATATTTCTAGACTAACAGGAATAGAAATTAGAATTAATGAGTTCTCTGCAGGTACATCTGTCACATATTTAATGATATGAAGCATATTTCATGCTCACAGCACTCTGCAAACGTTATGCAACCTTTTTAGTAGCTCTCTGCAGTAAATACCAATTTTGATTTGCTGCTAGAGAAAATGAAACTTGGTTTCCAGGCATGACACTCTGAAGTGCTAAGTGTGTCTCCACCTGAAGTCAGTGTTGCTGGGACTATCTGTAAAAAGCTGTGCCCCAGTGGCCTTGATGACATCCTTGTGACTGACCTTGTCTAAAAATTATTAACAATTTAGAAGCTCTGGCTGCCATAGTGCTGTGTTGCCTGGTTGGGTGCATCAGTTGGCAGTTGCTGAAGCCTTGAATACAGACAAGCAGCTGTTTCCAAACATACCTGTTGAGCTGCTCATGCCTCCTGGGATAAAGATGGAGATAAATGCTAAATAAATATATTTGCTTACAGAACAAAGTTTTAACCTGGAACTACACTGTCAGTTTTTTGGTGGATGAAAATTAAGTGACCTGATTTGTCTCCATTGCCATTCTCCCCTGTGTAAATTAAGAATAATAATTGCACCAGTCTTAGAAGAAAATGGAAGATTA